AGGGTCCCACCCACTACCAAGCCTGTTGGGGTAGAGGGTCCTGCTTCCCCCAGGCAAGAGCCTCCTTGTCTAAACATCCACCCAGCTTCCCTGGGGTCCTTCCGCTACTCTGCTCTGGACAGACAGATGGACGTCGGTACAGACAGACACTAAGAGTGGGCAGCACAGCCTCCTCCCAGGCAGCTGGGCTCTGAGTCCTCCTCCCAACCCAGCCTGAGTTTGCTTCTCCAAGATCCTCGTCCTCCCCCGGGAGTTCATCCACAGGGCAAAACTGTTGGGGGTCAGACAGAGCTGAGCCGTGGACGCCCTTTCCTGTTTCCTGCGGTGTCAAGAGACCACATCTTCCTCTGCTGTTTGTTTTTTGTTCACACAATACACAAAAGGCTTGACCTGGAACCAGCGGACTCCATCTCGGCCATTCATGGGAATCCCCTGGAGGCGCTGACCTGGCAAGAAGCCTTTACCAGCTTTTACCCCGGGGATTATTGGTGCAATTGGGGGGAGCGGGCGGCCCTGGCCTTCCCCAAGTCGTGCTGTGCTGACAGAGGAAATGGGAGGTCGTGTGTGCCCTCCCCTCCCCTTTCCCCGCCCAGATGAGGGCAGACTCTGTCTGCTGTTCACACCTCAGTGAAAACGGTCCACAAGTAAGAGGCCTTTAACTTCGATTTTTGCAGCCTGTCCAGGAAAAAAAAAATTAACTCACTGCTTGTGGATAAGTTCTGGCTCCAGCCAGACCCAGTAAGGAAAAACAGGCTGTCCACAGGGCTCAGATGCATGTGCTTAACAAATCCTAGAATGCAAATCCTAGAAGACTAGGTGGAAGACAGCCCTGCACTGTGGCCCCTGAGAAGGACACATGCAAATTTAAGCCCAAGTGGGTGGGAAGCTACGGCGTGGAGGCGGGTGGAACCTACATTGAACAGGACCATGTGAGGGAACAAGAGTTCACACACATCCTCTTCAGACGGCTCTACCTGGAGGAACCTAAGTGTACCTTCGAGAGACCTGAGAAGAACCAAAGCTCAGGTGTTCCAGCATCCGCTGCCTTCTCCAGGTCTGCGGCCCAGACCAGTCAAGGGAGGAGCCCGGGGAGTCAGGTGGAGCGGCCCTGCTGCCTTCCGTCCTTTGCCTAAGAGGGTCTTGCTGTTTGCAAGTGACTGTGTGCCCAGAGGCCCTGAGACATGTGAGCCAAGGGAGGGAGGGTTTCAATCTTGCACAACTCAGGAATGCTTATTCCCTGGTGTGAAAAGGAGAATTGAATATAATATTAACTATTGCTATAATTCAAAGCCTGTATTTGAGCCCAGATGCTCTGAGGGAGTTAGAGAATTGTTCTCGCCTGCGTTCCAGGGTGGCCAGAAAGAAAAAAAAAAAAAGATACAGGATTCCTTGTTAAATTTTAATTTCAGATAAACAATGAATAATTACCTCATGTAAGGGTACCCCCAGCATTGCAATTATTTGTTGTCTATCTGAGGTTCAGATTTAACTGGGCCACCCATATTTCTTTGCTAATTTTGGCAGCCCTAATAGTTCCTCTCTTCTTTTTATGCCTTGGAGGGGGGGGGCGGGAAACAGCAACAGGAATGGGTTGTGTTTTGAAATCAGAAGGTGTCCCTGGTGCCAAGGCCAGAACACTTGCTAATTTTCCAGACAAGCGTATCTGTGTGACATCTACAGCGCAGCACCCCCGCAGCCCAGCTAACACCCAAACTCAGCCAGTTCTCTGCTGACCCCCTTACCCCATTATCTCTGGGTTTGTTTTTTGTGGAGTTATTTGGCTTTTTGTTTTGTTTTGTTTTGCCACCCTGCTCGCACAGGATTTTAGTTCCCTGAGCAGAGATTGAACCTGCGCCCTTGGCAGTGAAGTTGGAGTCCTCACCACTGAACTACCAGAGAATTCCCACCATTATCTCTGACCCACCCAGTTAGCCTCCTGACTTGTCAGGACACTAAGAGGTTAGTTCATTATGATGTTCTGTTATCACTTGCCCACCTTTCAAAAGTCTGTCAAAGCAGCAGGTTCTCCCATGCACCTCAGTGCTCTTGAGGCGTCCACGGTGAGTGGAGGGAACCCCACCCTCAGACCATGTCCCACGGTCCTCTATGCCTCTTGGCACAAAATTGGCACCGCAGCCAGTGAGGGCTGTGAGCGGCCCCAGGGCAGGGGTTTTGTCTCGCGTCTGTGGATTTCAGAGCTAGCATTAGACCTGACACATAGTAAGTGCTCGATAAATATTGGCTGACGGTGGGTGGGCACTACAGTGGCTCTGAGAACAGCGTCCTTGGTGGTTCTGCCTGTAGCCTTCTGGGTGACCTGGAACACTCCCAGCCTCAGCGTCCTCGTCCGTGAGACGACAGTAGTGCTGCTCTCTCCTGCCCTTCTCAGAGCATTAAGGCACACCTTCAAGAGCTGGGGAAAGGAAACTTACTTTTGAAAGAAGACAAGCTATGCATACAAGTTCCCTTTCCTCAGGTTGCTGCTGGAAGAACTCACGTGTTATCTGAGACAGGGGAAAGGAGGCTTTAGACAGCTTTCAATGGAGACCACATTTTCTGGACCCAAAACCAGGCACTGTATTCTGTTCATTTTTATCCTGGTTTGAGTGACTGAGTTTGGGTACCAGAGTTTAGGAATCATTAAGACAGATGATGCAGCATTAGGACTGGCCCAGATTTTCCTGGACATACAATTTCACTGTCACCTGAAGAATCACAGAGTTGTAGAATGAAAGTTGTAGAATGTCTTTGGTCTCATGTTCTCCCACCTGCCAAGGCTTTGGCATGATTTACTTTCAGTTTCAGTCTTACTTTCATAACCCATGAATGTCACCGTGCCCTGTCGTCAGTATCCCTTCTTTCCTGATGTCCACACCTGTGTCCTGAGCGTTGGAGCCTCGGTTTGGCCATCCTTGGCTGTTTGCTTTATTCCGTTCTGTAGTTTCAACCCCGTGTTTTCACGGTAGAACCCGGTTATTTTAAACGATCTGTTCTCACATCAACCAATGAAGGTAAATACAGCCTTGATTTTGGATGAAAAAAAAAAGAAAGTTGTAGAATGTCTGGAAGGCAAGAGTCTTATCTCTAAGGTCATCAGCCTGAAGGCAGCTGGATTAAAACCCAGGTCACCTGATGCTCAGGCCAGGACACCGTTTTTTTTTTTTACTCCCTCAGCAAGTTGGTACCACAAGGATGGGACACCTGAATAGCATCTGGACAGGGCTGCCAGGCAGGGAAAAGGAGGCAGCCCCCCACAACCTTGCAGGCTCTGGACTGGCCTAGACATGGCAGGTGGCTCCATCTTGCCTCCATGGTGAATAATCCAATACAAGTCAGACTTCTGTGCAAATCAGTTTCTTTATTTGCTCAAATAACACAGTACAAAAGTGAGACTCAGATGCCAGCATCGGAAACTCATACCAAATACTTACATAACTTAAAGAACATCATTCCCAATAAGAAACTCTGTACAGAAGGTGCCTGACCCTCTTCTCAAAACTGATTCTGATCTTTCACATTTTAGTTCTGTGTTCCTGAACACTGCCTAAAATGAATCCATAAAATAAATAAACCTCCCCCACTTCTTGGGAGCAGCAATAACACTAAATGACTTTCAGAATCTAAAACTTTGCCTCACGTTTGAGGCCTGTCCCTGCTAAGTGCCCAAGTCTCTCTTGCCCTTGGCTTCTCCCTCTCCTCAGCTCTACCCTATGGAGCTTGTCACAACATCAACACATCAAGACAGAGTCCACCAAGGATAACAAGGATGGGTTGGCCATCCAGGTTTTAACACCCTCTCCCCAATGGCCATGCGTTCTAGGCAGTGTTAGAGGGCTGTGTTCATAGCCCTGTCAGGCAAGCATGCAGGTAATAGACACACAGCAAGTTGACTGACTGAACCAAGCTGTTGGAACTGTCGAGCCTTGCCTTGGTGCAAAAACAAAAAGGAGCCCATTTCTCAAGATACTTTTCTGCCATCAGCTGGAAAATCATCATCATAAATCTATAAATCCACAATGTCTCAGAAGTCAGTAGCACTTCCTGCAATTAGGTGTTCTTGAGCAGTGCACGCTCATGCAACCATCCCTGGCAGTCTAGCTTGAAGCCCTCCCCCATTTCCTGAAAACTACGCAGATTATAGCTATCATAAGAATAGCAACTTACATAGACACGGCACTATGTAATTTCAGAACACTTTGTGTTGATTTTCTTAGTGACTTTTGGCAAATCCCCACGATTGAACCCCATTCAATTTCCAAATTTACTTTTAAATATCATTGCATGAATTATTTGGACTTCCCAAGTGGCTCAGTGGTAAAGAATTCTCCTTGGCAATGGAAGAGACGCAAGTTTGATCTCCAGGTCAGGAAGATGCCCTGGAGGAGGAAATGGTAACCTACTTCATTGTTCTTGCCTGGAGAAACCCATGGACAGAGGAGCCTTGTAGGCTATAGTTCATGGGGTCGCAAAGAGTCAGACATGACTTTAGCAACTAAACAAGCAAAACATGAGATGGCAGAGCTGAAAGGCATCAGCTTGAGAGGATTCTAAGACAGACCAGTTGTCCCCACTATACTGCTTCCCCATCTAGAGGTTGCAGGGTTCCTGGGAGGTTCTACAAATCCATATGGGTATTAAGTACTGTTGGCAAGCTGAATAGATTATGTGATACCTGTAGCTGCACATCTGTTAAGTGCATGTGGATGTTCTCATGAGAGATTAAGCATAGATGTATTTTTAAAACTAATGTCAGTCAAAGTTGCTCAGTCATGTCCGACTCTACGACCCTATGGACTATCCAGGCCAGAATACTGAAGTGGGTAGCCTTTCCCTTCTCCAGGGGATCTTCCCAATCCAGGGATTGAACCCAGGTCTCCCGCATTGCCGGCGAGTTCTTTACCAACTGAGTCACAAGGGAAGCCCATGAATACTGGAGTGGGTAGCCTATCCCTACTCCAGGGGATCTTCCTGACACAAGAATCGAACTGGGGTCTCCTGCATTGCAGGCAGATTCTTTACCAACTGAGCTATCAGGGAAGCAAGAGACTTATTTTAAAAACTAACATCTGAAAAAAGTATCAGCAGCTCTTCTACATGACATGGGCATATTTTTAGCCCTGGTGAACCAAGAAAACACCCGATAAAACAAACAAGGGTACATAAGTCAGCAATGGGCCCTCGGGTTGACCCCAGAATGCAGAGGCCTTTCTCCAGACCAATGCCTACTGAGGTAACTCCCCCATTTGCTAACTACCAATTCAGAGGAAAACCACTGGTCTCACAACTCTAGTTGAGGACCAAGGCCTCCCAGAGAATGCCTAGCAGAATTGCCTGGATCTCAGGCATTCCATTCATTCATTCATTTAGTCAGTACTTAAAGATTGCCTCCAACTACGTGGGGTGGGTATATTTAGGCAAAAAGTGAAAGCACTTGCTATCTCTCTTTAGAGATATTTTAGCATCATACAACCAGATGGGTCACTAATCCAGCCCAGAATCCAAGATCTGGAGAGGAGAGGGGACGTGGGACTCGTACAGGATTTTGGAGCCAAGTTCGGAGGTAGGTCAGCAGGTGGAGTCCTGGTCTCCTAATTCCCAGTCCAGTGCATTTCCCCCCATGGCCTTTGCCTCCAGTTTTGTAGAACACCTTGTTCATTCTCCATCTCAGTGAGCCCACGATGGTGCATGGACACCGAATGGCTGTCCACTCTTGTCTTCAGTCATGTCTGTGAAGCACTGGATTGGGAGAACACGGAGCATATTCAGGGTTTCCTGGCTGAAGCTATCAATGTTTGCATAGTTCAAGGGAACTTGAGTGCAAAGCACAGCTTTCAATCTGGACTCTGGATCTGAGAACTTGTGATGTTCTGGGAGGAGAAAAAGAACACAGATTTAAGCCATAGTCCAATTATGTATGGGTCCCACCCTGATAACAACAGACTTCTCATTAACCCACTAGCTCCCACCTCTGGGTCTCTGCTCCCAGAGTACCTCCTGCCTGCAGTGTCCTCTTGGTCCTTTTTCCCCATCGACAGCCTCTCCATCCTCAAAGGTCAAAATCAATGCCTGCTACCTCCTGGGAGGCTCCCAGAACCAAATTGCTTTATTGGCCACAGTTAGTGCTAATTTGGCATTTAATTGATATTTACTTTTATTATCAGTAAACAGTCTGTCTTTTTCCATTAGAACCTTTCACAGGCCCTCAGAGCATCTTACACAGCTAGGCTAATAGGAGGCTCTGAATATGTAGTGATTGGATGGATGAGTGAATAAATAAATGAATGGCTAGCAAAACCAGAAGATACAGTGTTAGGGCTACTGAGGATGTCAGAACTGATGTTTCTATAATATCTTCTACAAAGAACTCAGATCACTCCATCTGGTGTTACCTAATCCACCTTAGAGGGCAAATTGTCCCTAGTCTCCAGGAGAAGACAGTGAGGGTGAGAAAAGAGAGGTCTAAGGTCACAAGGGGTTCACACCAGGAAAGCCATTGAAATGATGTGCCGCAAGTATCATGAAATAAGGCCTGTTTTCTTGAGAGACTTATCACACAGCTTCTAAGGTAATTCCAGGAAGAGACAAAGGGTTTGAGTAGGGTGACATCATTGCAATGAAGGTCTGGCTCCCCAGGGGACCATTTGGATCTAGAAGTTCTGGTCCTATTTGTCCAACACGAATAGGACATTTAATTGCTTTAAAATCACAACTTCACTCAGTAGTTTCTGCACTTTAGATGTGGTTAAATGTTTGTAAACTGGTCATCTTAAGTGAGTTTGAAAAAGGCAGGGAGAACTTAGAGTCCACCAGAAAATTCAGATTTTAAAAAAGATCAGTTAATAAGTTTTCTCTCTACAGGGACCATCCCAGAGCCTCAGGGAAGGGAGGATTATTAGGGAAAGCATGAAACCAATCAAGAGTGAGTGATGGCAGAAGAGAGGCTATTCATAATCAGTCAAGGCAAGGCCCTTGAAGAATGTCCTCTGAGAAGCCTTTCAGAACCAAACAGCCCCAGGGAGCCTTCTCATCTACCTCACCATCCCTTGTTTGATATGTAATCTTACTGTACTTTTTTCTTTAAATTTTATGACCCGCCTCAATTGGCAAGCCAATCAGCACAACCCATGAAACAGCAAGAGGGTGAAGCTACGATACTAGCTGGTCTGATATTCCATACTGATATAAAGAAGTATGAAAATACACCTCCTGCTGGAGACCAGGGCCAAATAAAAAGAGGATACTAATTAGCTTATTAGCAGGTGAAGCAGGGAGGCTAGGAAAGATAAAGACCGCTGTGGAATAGAATTGTCTCACAAGGCCTGAACAAGGAGGTGGCATTTGAGCTGGACCCCAGAAGTCCTGAACTAAGCAGGGAAGGGGAGAGGACAGGAAGCAGGTCCTTGTGATCTGAGTCTGTCACCCCTCACACCACGTGGCCCGTTCTCACCTGCTGGGCCTCCTCGAACGGGGACTGGCCATAACTGGGTCTCCTGTAGTGTAGGCCTGTGAGACTGAGGACGGTGTGGTAATTGTTGCCAGCACATTGGTGTCCCAAGCCAAAGACGAATGGGTAGGTTCTCTGGGGCTCGGTGGCGTGGGCTCCTTGGCTGCGCAGCGTGGCTGCCAGCTTTCTGAGGGAAGAGACTGAGGGCTTGTAGAAAAATTTCTTAAAACTGGGGTGCCGCTTGATCTGGAGGCAGAAATGAAGGCAGGCCATCAGTGTGGCTGGCAGGTACTCCCCTCCCCCCAGCACCCCTCCTCCATCAACCCCACACAGTCAGGCTGGGCGCCTCACTGTCCCTGGGACAGCATGCCTTGTTAAATTCCTCCACCTTCCCAGGCCTCTCAGAATCTGCTCTGCAAGTTACAGCCCCAAGCAGCACAACAAAGTGGAAAAAAAACCCAAAAGACAAAATGCAGGTCTTTGGATTCAGGTAATGGATGTTTAAATAGCACTCACTGAAAAAAAAAAAATAGCACTCACTAGTGTGTGACCTCTCTGAGCCTCTGTTTGGTCGTGTAAACTAAAAATATCTTCCCCCAACACACTATTGGGGGGGATTAAGTGAAATAGTTTAATGTTTTGTGAAAAGTGGATGTTGGGTGATTTTAGTTCCCATGCTAAGCCGCCTCCTCCTAATACCTAAATGTCTTAGGTTGGGTTCCCCCAGAGGCAGATCCAAAGACTAGGACTCAGATGCTTCTAGTCAGAAGCTGAGTGATCTGGGCAGATGGGGGAGTGGATACAGGGGGGCAAGAATGGGAAGCAGCGCCCTCAAGCTGGCAGCTGAGCCTGATCCCCTTGGGGCACTGTGGGAGCCCCAGAGTTATCCCCCCAAGGCGGGAGGGAGCTGGGGTATGTGTACCCCAGCTCCCATTAGCCGATGATTGGGGGCTGCTCCTGGCAAGGTGGAGAGTGTCACTCTGGCCTATTGTATGGGTGTAAAGGGCTCTGGAGGGGCAGTCTTCAGGCAAAAGGACGCAGGTGCTGGCAGTCGGGAGCTGGGCCAGGTGATCTGTGGTGCCAGAAGAGGTACCGAAAGCATTGGCCCCAGGCTCAGTTGTGAAGAACCCGCCTGCAATACTGGAGAACCACCTACAATGCAGGAGATGCTGGTTTAATCTCTGGGTCGGGAAGATCCCCCAAAGGAGGGTACGGCAACTCACTCCAATATTCTTGCTGGGATAATCCCATGGACAGAGGAGCCTGGTAGGCTACAGTCCACGAGTTCACAAAAGTCAGACATGATTTAGCAACTAAACCAGCACCACCACACTGATCACTCATCTATGACCTGCCTCTTTGTATGTGATCTGTGTTTGTCTCTCCAAGTAGACTGTGAGGTTTTCAAAGGCGAGAAACCTTATGTTACAAGCTATCTAGCAACAGAGGAAACTCTAAAAGCTTGAAAGAATCAGAGGCCTTATATTGCTGATGCGTGTGCCAAGACAGAGTGAAGGGCAGATAGAGGACGAGATCAGAGGGACTTGGGGAAGGAGGCTTCCTTGAGCTGAACTTCAAGGACGATTTGGACAGGGGGAAGTCCTGGTTGGCAGGTGGAGACACAGAGCTTTACGTTATTTTAAATTAACATTGACCTTCTCTGCTGTGTGTCTGGCATTTTCTGTATAAGCACCAACCTTGGCAAATAGGTATTTATCCCCCATTTTGCAAAAGAGTAAACAGAGGCTCATAGAAGCTATGGGGCAGGCCACGGTCACCCAGATGCAGAGACGGGGACTGAACTTGGGTTCACTTCCTGAGGGTACTGAGCACTCCTCACCTGCTCTCCCAACTGGCCATCCACTTTTTGGAGAAGGGCCACCAGCTCTTGGATGATCAGCTCCTCTAAGAAAAGTAAAGAAGGACTGAGGGACTGTTGACAAGTTCTGCAATAACCCATCCATCGACCCCAGAAGTATTTTGCCTCTAAAACACAGCACACAGATTAGCTATGAAGAGCAAAGAAAACTCTTCCCCTAAACTAGAGCTGGAGCACGAAGGTTTTGTTTCGTTTTGCTTTATAGACAAAGAAGGCACTTTGACCTGCCGAAACTCACCTGCCACCACATTCAGCTCCATTTTGACAGATGGGGAAACTGAGACCTTATCTAGGCTACAGAATAGCCTGCACCATCAGCCTGGGCTGTAAGCAATGGTGTGCAGGTGGAGGCTCGTACCAAGAGTTAATTATGAATATTCAGAATATTTGGAGACGCGTTGTTATAAACTGTTGGTAACTTGAAATCGGCCAAGGTGGGGATTTTATACCACAGAAATCTGCAAAGGCTACAAATCAGGGCCTCCCCTGGACCCCATACCCCTAGTGTACCGGAGCGTGTTTGCCAGCAGGCCACTGGTTAGGAGACCCAGAGCAAGCTAGGAGTTTTACATGAAACATTCATGCGAAGCAGCGACATGCAGTGGGGGTAAAAGTACATCCCACAGAATGGACAGACATCCTCTACCTGAAGAAGGCTGTCCCCCTGCAACTCTGCCCCAGTTCAAAGGCCAACCCTGTGTCCTCTCTGCCCTTCTAGAGTCTCCTAGGGTATTTGTAAAGCTGCCCCTTCCCAGTTCCCTACTAGGGTTCAGCCTGTGAAAGTCATGCAAAGGGGAAGCCCCAGGGCAGCTGTCCCAGGAGAGAGCAGGGTGACACTAACTGGATTCATTCGCTCCGTCCAGCTGAGGTCCCCCTTCTGGCTTGTGACTTCTGGCCTGGGAGGGTGCTTCTGGGGCTCCAACTGGCTCCCCTTCTGTGGATGGGGACCCCTGGAATTCGAGATCCTCCAGATCTGAGGGCAAAGAGGAGTTGGTGTGAATGTGTTTGCACCTGTCTCAAATCCACCAGCACATCACTGAACCCAGGTTCTGATAAGAAGCTGTCCAAAGTCTCTGACTTAAGAGGGGTCCTGGTTTCCCAGGCTCCTTAGGGAACCCCCAGCCCCCCCGGATCTGCCTCAGAGGAGTTCACAGTGCTCTCTGTCCCTCCAGGAATTGCATTCTCTCTTCCACCTTCCCCCTCTGCCTCCTTATATCTGGGAGGAAAGCAGGCAGGCCTGCCAACAAGTCTCAGCAAATGAGCCCACTTCCCCTTTAACTTGGCAAGCCTTTGCTGAGTCCCTTAGCCTGTCTGAACCTCACTTTCCCCATCTGTCAATTGGGAGAGTTGTGAAGGGGATTAAATGAGATAACATGCATGAATGCAGCATGCAGTTGGCACTCTGCCAATGTTGGGGGGATTATTGTATCCCAGCGGTCCTCACACCTTAGTGCAGTGAAAAAACAGAGGCCCAGAACATGAGCTACTTCATCAAACCTGAGTCTCTATTTTTCTATCACCTTTCCAGGTGATTCTGATTTATGTATGGTGATGCTCTCATGCCATATTTGTTTTCAGGTGTTTAAGATGGGGGGGGAGGGGAGAGTGTGTGTTGTGGGGGGTGAATCCTGGCATCAACCAACTCCTTTCTTCTCTTGTGCCCCCACACGGCCCTACTCTGCTCAGAGTGAAAGTCAAGACTGAATGGTACACCGCACATCTGGCCAACTCTGCCCTGGAGGAAGCCATGGGGCCACAGGCAGCCTCTGTCACCATGGCAACCCCAGGCCTGCTCACCAGAGTTGATGGAGACAGAGGGCCAATGGCCACCGACGCACAGGGGCAGAAAGCTGGGCTTCCTGGGTGGCCGGGAGTCTGGGCTGGCAGCACCTGCAGCCCCCACCCTCTTGGGGTCTTTGGAGCTGTGTTTTTTATAGAAGGCTTTTCTGAAGTTGGACTTTCTCTCTTGGCTTTTCTTCCTGCAGGCTGGGGCCAAGTTTTCTACAGCCACCTCTGGCTCCTGGACTTGAAGTTGCTGCGGGAGAGATAAGGGAAACTGAGTCAGGGCCCCTGACTTTATAAGTCAGCCGAGATGAGCAGCCCCAGAAACGAACAGAGACCCACTGTGGGCCAGATGGTGTGGCCAGGGGAGAAGGGTGATGGTGCTCAGAGCTGGGGAGACAGGCACAGCCTGCAACGCTTAGGGGAGGCTCCAGGAAGGAGGGGAGACGGGAGGCAGGCTCTGGCAAGATGGAGGATTGGGGGAGGGGCAGGGGAGTTACTGTACCAGGTTGGGGTGGGGTGTCCAAAGTGAGAGTCAGGGTCTATGTGGGGAATGTCTTCCTCACCTTGTCTCCGCACTGCTCTTCTGCATCTTGGAGTAGGGCAATGATCTTCTGGATGAATTCTTCTAAAAAAAAAAAAAGAACAAAGGGGTTGCTCACACTTGAGTGCAAAGAAAAGCTTTTCTGTGGTTAGTCTTCATTTCCTAAAGTGTTGAGAAAAGCTTTTCTGTGGTTAGTCTTCATTTCCTAAGACCTGGTGGCTCCCTGGGTGATTCTCACAGGCCTCCAGGGTGGGTGCTAATGAGCTTGCATTTGAGGTCATCCCTGGCCCAACCCATGGTGGGGACCACAGATTCCCCAGAGGTGGCCTGAGGGCAGAGCTGGTTTCATGGGAGCATGTGCTTAGTCGCTCAGTCATGTCTGACTCTTTGTGACCCCATGGACGACAGCCCTCCAGGCTCCTCTGTCCATGGGGACTCTCCAGGCAAGAATACTGGAGTGGGTTGCCATGCCCTTCTCCAGGGGACCTTCCCAAACCCAGGGATTGAACCCAGGTCTCCCAAAACTGTAGGTTCATTCTCTACCATCTGAGCCACCACGGAGGCCCCAGAATCCTGGAGTGGGTCGACCATCCCTTCTCCAAGGGAACTTCCTGACCCAGGAATCAAACCAGGGTCTCCTGCGTTGCAGGCAAAATCTTTACTAGCTGAGCTACCAGGGAAGTCCTGAGAACATATTCACTCATTCATTCACTTATTCATTCATTGCTGAGGAAGAGCCTAGACGTGCCCTGTTATGTGTAGGAAACAGCCGAGACCCCTGCCTCCAGGGGAAGGTGCCTCAAGGCCATCTGGTACCAAATCCCCCCTCCCTGCTCCTTCCTCCTCTTCTAGGTAGACCAGGGGCCCTTCTCAATTCTCCTTCAAGGCACATCCTCTGTGAAAAGCAAAGAAGGCAGAGTGGGAGAGGTAGGGAAAGCGGATCTTCAGACACACAGAAGGGACAGTGATTACATGATTACAGGCTTGGCTCCGCCAATGATAAAATAATAATGATAAAGCTGGCAGCCACCATTGGTTCAGCTTCTCTCCTAAGGCCTCTACCCCTGTTCCCATCCTCTTTATTTCTCCCGAGGCTCTGCTCTCAAGCTGGGCTACGTGACAACACTAATAGTCACAACAAACAGCAGCTGACATTTTTTTAGCAGCTCCCGGACACACCTCTAAATGCTTTATCACCACTAATTCATTGAGAACTTCCAACAACTCTAGGGCATGGGGACTATTCTTATCCCCAACTTATAGATGAGGAAACTGAGATCAGAGATGAAGAAGCTTGCAAGATCACTCAGCTGGAGAGGTCAGAGCCCAGGCTCAAATCCAGGTTCTAAAGCTGTACCTTCTACAGAGCCCTTGCCATGGGCTAATGCTTTCCTTGCATCTCCTAGTGTCGGCCTCCCCAAGGAGGGCATGATTACTTTTGTGGTTTTACAGCTGAGGCTCAGTCTGGCTTAGAGCCTGTGTTCTGGACCCCGAGCTGCCTCCCCAGCCTGCAGCACTGAGGCAGGAAAGGACAGGTCACTGCCTCTCTCTGGTTCAGTTTCTCTTCTGGAAGTAGAGGACTCAGCTCAGACATTTCCCAACGGGCCTCTGAGAAGAGAAGAGGGGGTACTGACTGAACTCTGCGGCTCTGTCCTGCTGCAGGTCCTCGTCGGCTCCCCCACTTTCTGCTGGGGTGCAAAGCTCAAAGGGACTTGGCTCTCCTCCATCTGTAGGTGGAGCCTCTTGGACTTCAGGTTCTTCCACACCTAAAAAGCAAGAGGAAACGCAGTGGGTGAGCTTCACCAGCCAGAGGGTGTTGACTAACGCACAGAAGTCAGCAGAGACTCAGAGTGCGCTCCGTGGCTAGTGCATGCAGAGGCCTTTTGGGGGCGGCAGGGGGCTGCTGGCAGGGCCGTGGCTCCGCTGTACTGAAGACCAAGCTCCCTCATCCCTTTGCACGTCCATCCCTACAGCTGTGCCTGTCCTGGGCTTCTCCGCCTCCCCTCCTTCCCCTGGAAGCTCATCCGTCTACCGTCTTGGCTTCACCTGCGAACTGGAGAGTAGATGCCGGATGCCCTGGCCCGAATTAGCCCCATCACAGCCAGGACCCCCCTACATGAAAAGACCTCCCCTGTGGCCTGAAATCCCACAACCGGGGATCCGCTCTTTAGTGTTAAATATTGCTTCCTCCTTTTTAAAATGTGAATTCCCCTGGCCAGGATGACCTGCTAGGCTGGTCCTCTCTGACACCAGGAAGGCCCTCTCTCGCAGTAACTCTGACTCCATCATGATGGGCCCCGTGACCACAAACATGATTTTACCTCCCGAAACCCTAGTTCCCTCATCTGTGAAATGGGGATAATAAGATGTACTTCCTAAGATGAGGACTGGTGGCCGACAGATACACAGCCAGAAAATGTCTTATTTTTACAGGCAAGGAGACTTGAGGCACAGAGTTAGGGGTTGTACAGCCCAGCACCCAGATCTTCTGCCTCTCAGGCTCCAGTTCCTTCCTGCACGTGCTCTCCGCTGCCAGGGTGTGGAAGCTGAGGCTGCGGAGAGACCACGATAGTTGGTGGAATTCTTTGAACACAGTTTCCACCGGGGGCTTAGCTGGGTTGCCTAGACGATGAGGCTTGGTGTGTGGAGGTAACCTTCTGGCATTCCTTTTGCCCTCCCCACGCTGCTCAGGGCAGAGCGAAATTCAGAACTGGGATGGCAGCTCTGCAAATGGCCAATTCAAGCCATGGGGAAGGTTCCAGCACGGGAGGCAGTGTTGCTATGGTAACCGGGAGCCTGCTCACCGGAGAGGCTGGAGCTGGAGGGCCGGTGGCCGCCCACACACAGGGGCAGAAAGTTGGGCCTTCTGGGCGGCCGGGACTCTGGGCTGGAAACATGGGCGGTCCCTGCTCTCTTGGGTTCCTCGGAGCCGGAGCCGTATTTCTTAAAAGAAAAGGCTCTCTTGAGGCTAGACATTTTCTCTTGGGATTTCTTCTTGACAGCCGGTCCTGCGTTTCTTCGGGTCACCGCAGAAGGAAGGGCTTGATGCTGCTGTGGGAGAGATGAGAGAGAAGCTGAGCCAGGCCCCTGACCCTCAGGAGAGGGGAAAGCTCCCCAAGAAGCAACCAAGAAGCAACCGAGGGCTTCACGGTGGCCCCAGGCATGGCTGGGGACAGAGACCAGGGCAGGGAGCAGCGAGCCCTGGAAGGACAGGCAGGGTCTGAGCGAGGAGGAGGGACGGCAGCATGCCCCTGGCGTCCGTGCGGACAGTCCCCTCCTCACCTCTTCCTCCCACTGGTCGCCCACTTTTTGGAGCAGCTGCACTATCTTCTGGATGATGATATCGTCTGGAAGAAAACCAATACACCTGGTTAATCTTTGTAGGAGCAGACAGGACTCTTTTTAATGACTGCCTTGGCCTTCTGAGACCAACTTGGGACTTATGGATTAAATGAGGGTCCTCTTAAAACAGCTCCTTTAGGCCACAGATTGGGGATGGAGGAGCACGCATCCCAGGGACTGGTCCTTCTAAGAGAGGGTTTGGAAGATCCACAGGCGAAGGGTACTAGGCCAAAGCATGCAATTTTATGCAGAAGTTTCGAGTTAGTCCTTGAAGCATTCAACTTGTACCCCACAATTTCCTTTGAACACTGCAGATCTGTAAACATCTATTTTGGGTTTGTGACCCAAGCTGTGTGACCTTGGGTAAGTCTCTTAACCTCTCTGGGCCTTCATCACTTCCTCTGTGACACATGGATCGTAAGTCCCATCCTGAATCCCTCAGAAGGCTGTCAGGCCATCAGAGGAGGCTGCGTTTGGAAGTACCTTACAAGGTTAGAGATGATTCGACCTACAAAATTTCAGCCAGGGAAATGATGGAGTGCCAGCCTATCTGAGGTGGACAGAGGCACTCCAGCAGGCAGGACACAGATAGCCTGCCACGTTGGTGCCCCAACCACACTGCCAAGTCTTTACACAGAAGTCCAAACGATGTAAATGGTTTTCTTTTGATATTCCAGTCAACCTACCCAAAGACAGTGTGCCCAGAGTGGCCTCTGCTAGTTGCCAGCCTATCAGTTTACACAAAAGAAGGTGCAGACAAGATTCCCTCTTCCCAGACTGTCTGCAGAGATTCTTACCCCTTCCCTCTCATTTATAAACCCTGCTAGGCTTTTGTTCCTTGACTCAATCTACCAGCCAACTCCCTCTCACGTGAGAGAGCAATCATCCTGCAAATTTCCTGCAAAATAACAATTAAATGCCTTTTAGCTACTCCTTGACAGATGCATAGCTCCTCCATTTTCATATCTTTTAAAATATGCCCATTCTTGGTAGGAAATTAGATTCATACAGCCTTATGGATTTTATTAAGGGCAATAACAAGACTGGAGTTGTGTATGAGACTGTCCTTATTTCTTGCAGATGTGTGTCTAAGTATTTAAGGATGAAGCATCATTTTAAAGGGGTTAAAGGGCTTAAAGAGGTTTAGCAACAATGAAGCAAGGATGACGAACTATTAACAATTGTAAGTATGTGAGTGTGCACAGAACTGTTCTTTCCACTCTTCTATATACTTAAATATTTATGTATATATATGTGGGTGTTTATATATATATGTGTGTGTGTGTGTGTGTATTCCTCTATAAATTTTAAATGACTTAAAAATGTCCCATGCTAATTAACACCTAAGCATTTTCCAGAGGCTAGTCTAATTCCTGAGACCCCCTTCTGTGAAACTCTAACATAAATGGACCAGAAGCACCAGAAGAGCCAAGGTCAGCACATGCATTTTGTGAGGTCTAAACATCCAAGGTCCAAGCAGTCATCTGGAACAATCCATTTTGTTTGCTAACAGCAATATTGAGCTTTCTGAGCTGCTCTTCCTGCTGATGACCTATGGCTTGGAAAGAAACTTTCCAGACTCCAGTACCCCCACCTTCAAGGAGCAAGAACTGGTGGAGATCAGAGTCTTCTCCACCTATAATAAAGACGAAATCAAGTGTGGGACTGTGTGTGGGTGTCAGTGACATTCTTCTGACTTTGTTAATCAACTCAGTGCATGGAATTCACAGCAGGCCAGGCGCTGCTAGAGCCAGCTCTAAGCTTAACCAAAAAAATCAGAAACCTTCCAAGGTTTCCATTTGAAAAGAGGCTGCCTCAGCCCAGACATCTTTCTCCACTCCTCCACCCCTGAGTATCCTGGATCTTCCTTGGATCTCTTCCCCCCATGAAAAACATGGTGAGTTTTGAGTCCTGTAGGGCAAATTTCCATCTTCCTCCAGCTGCCTGTGGGACATTCAACTCCAGGACACGAAACATCAGAAAAGGAAGGCACCTTAGGGGCCAGCTCACTCATTTTACAAACGAGAATCAAAGAGATATCAAGAGAGGGATAGCAACTTGCTCAAGGTCACACAGCAAACTTATTCCAAACTTGATGGAATCAAGTCTAGAACCAGCAGACAGCTGTTTCTACTTCCCTGTCACCTACCCCAGTCCTCACACATAGATTAATGTTGGGGGATAGAGCTTCCCGCTCAGCCTCCCCTCTGCCTTCATATTTCTCCCTGGCTGTGCTCCTCCACCCGGAGTACTTAACAACAATAGCATCTGCTACTTATGAAGCCCTTGCTCTATGCCAGTTCTGGACTACGGCTACCTGTTATAGTCTCCATTGTATCAGTGGGGAAAAAAAAACAAAATTGGGGCCCAGTGAGGCAAGTCTCCAGCCCCAGGTCACCCAGCCAGTGAGTGGTGGAGCTGGGGTTTCACCTCCAGTTCTCAGCCCCCATGAGGCTCTGCCTCTAAGAAGCAATGCTGCTCCTGATGGCAGCCCTACCTTCCGGGTCCCTTTCTGTTGAGAGGTTTGAGGAAGCAGCTCAGAGCACCCCAGCGCTTGGGGTAGGGGTGGGGGTGGGGTTACCATAGAAACAGGCACAGTCTGCTCACCCCTGGCTGCTGGGCCCAGGTCAGCCCCCTCACCACGTGAGGCCTCAGCCGCCTTGGCCTCTTGGCCTTCGGCCTCCTGATCTCGGGCCCCCTTGGCCTCCTCCGCGCCGTGTTTCCTTTGACTGTGTTTCCTGCGGCTGGCCTTCTTGCTGTGGGGCTTCTTCCTGGGAGTTGGCTCGCCCGGGCTCTCGGGGGTTTCTGCGGGCTCGGGGGACCCCTCCTTCCCCTTTGCCTTCTTGTTGGTCTTTTCCTTGGGCTCCTCAGGGCCTGTCCTGAAGAATAAGTTCACCACAAACCTCAGCCACCCCTGCGGGGCCTGCCACTGGGCCTTGTCCTTCTTGGCATCCTGCAGAGGCCTCTGCTCGCTGAGAAGGTCCTTGGTCTCCTCTGGGCTGGGGGCGGCAGCCGTGGTGTCCTGAGCCTCCGCAGACTGAACTGGACTCTTGAGACATCTGGTCCCATCACTGGCCGCCCGACAAAGACCTTCCCTGAAGGGGCCAGTGGGCGGGGAAGGGCCCGGGCAGTCCCACGACTCTGACTCCTTCTGGGCGTTCTGTAGCCTGTCCAGAGACTTGGCTCTCCTCCAGGACAGAGGCTTCCTCGGGCCCCGTGGAGGCTCCATTGCGCTACAACCAAAACAGACAGCTCCCTTAGAAGAGGCCTCGGAGACTGCGAGGTGGACTAGTGATGCTGACCCGTGTGCCCATCCAACCTACCCGTCATGTGAGTACTATCAACTCTCAAAGCCGTTGTCTCGTTTAAACTCCTCAGCATCCCTGGGAGGGACGGGTATCCTTGTCCCATGTCCCAGAGGAGGAAACCGATCCCCAGGAGGTCATGCCCCAGATCTCACAGCTAGACCCCTAGAACCTCCAGGAGGAACACCCTGCCAACACATTGACTGTAGTCCACTGAGATTGAGTTTGGTCATTTTCGTTCCCTGACCAGGGATTGAACCTATGCCCGCAGCAGTGAAAGTGCCATGTCCTAACCACTGGTGTGTGTGTGTGTGTGTTCAGTCACTCAGTTGTGTCCACCTCTTTGTAACTCCATGGACCATAGCCCACCAGGCTCCTCTGTCCATGGGATTTTCCAGGCAAGAATACTTAATTGCCATTCTCTTCTCCAGAGGATCTTCCCAACCCAGGGATCAAACCCGGGTATCCCTCATTGCAGACAGATTCTTTACTCTCTGAGCCACCAGAGAAGCCCTACCTTCCCACAGGGGCCCTCTTATTGGCAAGATTACATCTTCACGTGTTTAGCGGTTTGTTGCCTGAGCCTCTCTGCCTCCCCCCTTGTCTGTTTTACTGGGTCTTGTTTCCTGAGTACCTACGAAGATGCCTGGCACATCACTGGCACACAATAAGTACTTATTAAACAAAGGAATAAATGTATAATGAGCATTTAGTAAACTGAACAATACCTATGGGTGTGTAGTTAACATACAATAAATGAATTCGGACCGTTCCATCTTAAAGCATTCTCCATCCAAAATGAAGCAACTGCTCATGGAAAAGAAAAAACCACCTCCTCTTTCTGGGCAGCATTTTAACCAGGCTGGGGTGTGGGCAGTGCACTTGATTGGTGTGTCTTTAATCTGAAATTCCTGAGGCTTTCCAATTTTTCTGAAGTTGTTCAGAAACCCTTTGCCCTTTGGTGGAAGTTAAGAGAAAAATGAAATATGGTTTAGAATCTCAGTCCTGAGTTCCCAGAGATTCCTATGGAGTTTAGGTTTATGGGTTGCCTACTCTAATTTGTAATACAGCTTCATCATGCATTTACTATTATTAGTGAATTAAGTATTAATGTATCTACATTATATCTTCTGTGTTTACCAACTGATTCGTTTCTTTAAAATGTATTCTATTACTATGTCCAGCTTAGAGATAAAAATGAGAACCTGTAATTGCAATTTCAGATGTGCAGGCATCCTTGTGAATGTGAGGAAGATACATAAAGACAGGGAAGAAAAGGACAGGAAATACAGAGGGACTTGAAGGTGAGAGTTAACAGTCAAGGATGCCTTTCTTCCTTCAAACATGAGTTTCAGGAGGAAGGGTAGGGAGGATGGCCAGAAGCCAGTGGGTACCACCCGGCAAGGCATCCACACCCTTGCAGTGTTGGAGGAAGTGAAGTGAGGAAGCAGGCAATTTGGACGGATTTATTTGTTGCCCAAGGTTCCTTAAAGAAGCAATAGAGTTACATGAAAACTTTTAGCAATGTTATCTTATCTGAAAGTTGTCTAACGTTCTTGAAAGCCTCAGAAGCTGCCTTACAGTTACGTTTCCAAAATGTGGCATTAAGTGGGATAAGAAAAGAAATCATAGAAGAAAATATTTTGCTTTCTTCTCATTAATTTATTTCAGCAAACCTTTAACAGGCACCTACTATGTACCAGGAAGTTTGCTCGGTGCTAGGGAATGAAATGCAGCTTGTGCCCTCACATGGGTGGGAGTAGGGGTGTACGTGGTGAGGGCAATAACGCTCTATTCTCCTGACAGCTACTCTCACTCTTTATTTATTTAGTTATTTTTTAATTTTAGTGTTATTTTTTTGCCTGTGCTCTGTGGCATGAGAGATCTTAGTTCTCCTACCAGGGATCGAACTTTCCACCCCCAGGACTGGAAAGGCGGAGTCTAAACTACTGGACTGCCAGGGAAGTCCCTACTCTTTCTTTAGTAGCACATGGTTTAAAGAGAAGATAACTTGAGGTCGAAGTTCTATTTGATGTTAAGATCAAAGTTAACTGAGCCAGAAATATTCCTTGAGGGATTTCCCTGGCAGTCCAGGGGTTAGGATTCGCTTTCACTGCTGAGGTTACATCTGGGTTTCATCCCTGGTGGGGGAGCTGAGGTCCCACAAGCTGCTGGCCAAAAAGAAAAAGGGGGGGGGGAGATATTCACTTAATGATGTCAGGGTTCTCTCTGCTTGCTCCGTATGTTCCTGTGATCGGGCAAATTGGATGAGTTTGGCAGAGAAGCTGCTCAATAACAGAACCACCAAACCAGCCCCTTGGCTTCCTGCGCTAGCTCGGCTCAAGGGGGTCTCCCACACAGAGGGCCTGGCATCTTTCTCCAACTAATGAGAAAAGAGGCACAGTTATCACTGAAAAAACCTGTTGTTGCTATGGAAACGGTTTCCCCTATTGCTGATGGTGACAGTGTTCCCCGATCGCATTCCAAGGACACTCTGCTACTTCTCATCAGAGCATCAAGACAATTCCACTTGGCAGTGGTTTTCCTTCGTGCAGGGTTTTCAAGAAAACTGCCTTGATTTGGCCACTGCTTTCCTGAAACAACAGTGCCTCGAGCCCAGAGGAAGGGGAGGGAGGCCGAGAGGACAGCAGCTGCAGGGGCCCCAGAGGCAGGGTGAGGAGGGGTGGGGAGCATGACCTTGGCATTCCAAGAATATTCCCGTGGGAAGAGAACTCCAGGGTGTAGCCAGATAGAGAAACATTTTTTTTTAAAAAAGCCTACCCTCCTCCAAGGAGACACCCTGGAAGATCTGTGGGGCAGATGTGTCCTCAGACTTTTAAAGTCTCTAAGCCCTGCTTGAGAAGATTGTGTTTTAATATTAACCAGCCCCCCGCCCCGCCAACACACACACACACACTACCCACACCATACACACGCACACAGATTCTGTGTGTGCTGAAATTAAATCTTTCCAGACTTTCTAATTATAAAATTCTGCCTATCCAGAATTCATCAAAGCAAATCTTTCTTTCTCCTTCCTCTTTTTTTTTTTTTTTTGTTGTCCTGTGTCACTTTGCCTGGGACATCATCTAAGTTCTGCCTGCCCGTCGGGGAATTCCACCCTGTCCAGGTCAAGCCTCCAGATGGTAACCCTGAGACAGCCGCAGACCTTGGCTGCATGAAAACCCAGCTGCTCTTGTGAACTTGTTGATCGCCTTGACAGAAAGTGGATTTCAGAGCAAATTCCTAGTCTGCTCAGAAGTACCCGTAATACCCCAATGATCTGCCAATCGCAGGACTTCTGACATGTACCGGTGGACATATTTAAAAACAACAGCAGCAAGACACCAGAGAAAGTGCACAGAGCTGACCTTGAGTTATTGCAGAGAGGGAAATTGGCCAATTTTTCACAAGCGTGCTGCCATTTGGGGTTTATTTTCTAAATTATATGCTGACCTCATCTATATATCATTCTCTAATTCACGCACCTGCCAAGCTTCTCTGTAACAGCTCTATCACCACTTCCTAAAGGGAGTTTAACTGCTTGCCTTCTCCACTCCTGGACTACAAACAATACAACAAACAGCTGGCCACTCCGAGGGAGAGCAGTGTGGACCCAGGGTCACATCCACAGACTCTCATTGCTATAGACTAGAGGTTTGCATCCCGCTCAGATTTATATGTTGAAACGTAATCCCCAGTGGGATGGTATTACAAGTGGGTACCTCTGGGGTAATGAAGTCATTTGAGCAGAGCCCGAATGAAAGAGACTAATGCCCTTATCCAAGAGACCCCAAAGTGCTCCGTCACCCCTTCCACCGTGTGGGCACACAGAGAGACCTGGTCTCGGGACCAGGAAACCCTCACCAGACTCCGAATCTGTGGGCACCTGAGTCTTAGACTTCAGCCTCCAGAATCTTGAGAAACAAATCCCTGTTGTTTCTAAGCCGCCCAGTCTATGAGAGTTTATGATGGCAGCCCAAATGGGCTAAGTCACTCCAGTGACCCAGAAACACACTCTTGTAACGTCAACCTATGAGAACTCATAACACCCTAAAATTTCCCTCCTGTGCCCCCAAGTGTAAATACAGGGCATCATTCTCTGGGTATCCATTTGCCCTCTGCCCTCCCCGTCTCGATCCAAGTCCCGGAGAAAGGACCCAAGTCTGCCTGGGTTCTGTTGCGTCCACACTGCCTGGGAGGCTCTCAGTGTTTCTGGAACAAATATACAAACACAATCACCTTACCAGCCACAGGGCACCCAGCACACCCTCCATCCACAAGATCTCAATCCAACTTGGCCCCAGCCTGGCAATGAGCCAGGCTGGCAGTGGGAGGTTGAGGCTCTGGCAATGAAGAGATTTGCCCAGGTTCTCACATCCCAGAAGCAGGGAGAGATGGGGCTTGAATCCACTTCTCTGGATTCTAAATTCTTTTTCCAGCACTCAGTGGCCTCCCATAAACACACTCATACACACACACACACACACACATACGTAGGGGTGAACAAATCTGCTATTTCAGGCTGACATTGATAACCATGTCCATACACATGCCTGCTGTGACTTGTACGCCTGGAGTCACACTCACGTGTGCCCAGGTATTGACATCTCTGTCCCAGAGGCAAAGATTGTAGACACAGGGTGGGGCTCACAGCCTCTTGGCTGGAAGCCAGTCGGTGAGTAGGAGAATCAAGGGCTGAAGCTCAGCTCATATTTCCTACTCATCAGCACAAGTGAGCCATGGACACTCCGAACGCCAAAGGTCAGTGCCCGTTTGAGGTTAAAGTCTTCCATTTGGGCTCTCAAGATGACTGGTCCACACCCACAGCCCACCCCCTCCAGGAGGACACCCCAACCACCACTGGCAGGACTGGAGTAGGGGAGAAAGTGGTCATCTCTTCCCTCAACACTGGATCCATCCCGCTCCCACACCCACCGCCCAAGTGGTAGGTGGGAACAATTCGGGTATTCCTTCTCCTTCATGGGGTC